GGTAATCTAATTACCATTTTTTGCAATAGTAATCTCTTTACTCGTTACTTGAAAAAGTAATCAGATTACAGTAACGCGTCACTGCCCATCTCTGCTCAAGTATGACCTCCCGTCAGTTAGCTCTTTTCAAGTTTCACATGCATCCTTCCACAAAGCCTCTCCAGATAAGGAACCAAAGGTTTTGGCATTTTCTCCCTAAACAGACAGGCAGCCAGACTGCCCTCGAGGTCTCCACAGAGGTCAAACAGAAGAAAACTGAGCTCTTCACTCTCCAAAAGAGACATCTTTTTCCTGCCTCCCATCTTCCATTCATTTTAACAAGCTTCTGGTCATACTAAAGAACCTTTGATCACCATTACAAAAGGGTCAACACATGCTGAGTAGTATTTTATCTTAGGAGTGAGGTGGAAACAAAAATTCCCGTGTGAAGTTGGTGGATTTTCCATTAAAATGCTCACATCAGGCTGCTTCTTCAATTCCCACAAAAAACAAAAACAAACAAAAGACACAGAGACAGCTGGCATTTCTCTCTTTTATTAGATTATAATCCGCAGAGCTTAAAATATTAAATTGCTTTTAACTTAGTTAATAATTAAAATACATAAAAACAAGAGCCAGAACTGAGGAACCCTGCAAAAAAAGTTAAAATAAATAAAAAAGGAGAATTATAAATTGAATCCTCCTCCATACAGAGGCTATTTCTGACAGAACCCGCTTGTGATTCTTTGTACAGTAAAGTCCAAGCAGACTGTGCATTTTCTATACATGTGTAATGATACTGTCATCATTTCCAAAGTAATTTTTCCTCTGATATATATATAAAAAAGCAAATTTAAAGGGACTGGTAAAAATAAAATAGATTTTTATTTTGCACTGGAATTACTGGTTTAAACAGCAGAGCAGCGTCACACCATTGCCCTCACCTCTCACTCCATCCCTCTCTCCCCCTCTCTGCGCCTGCAGACATTACCTCATGTCTTTGTCCTTCTGTGCTGCTGGAGTGAGTGGGTGGAGATGGTGTTTGGTGGGTTAAGGGGCTGCTGCTGTGTGAGACACCAGCAAACAGCTCTGATTCACCTTATACAGGCACCAATCTGTCTCAAAGTCTCGATTCTCTGATAGGATTAAATATCTCTCATACAATCTTTATATTCTCTTCTCCGTCTCCCTGTTTCTGTGGCATCTTCCACATCTTTGCTGCCCTCTAAAGGTAAGCTCTGGGATATTTTTGTTAAGGGGTTCCCCTGGTGATTATTTGACTATATTGTAGTTAAACACAATCGACATCTGTCTGAGCAGTCTGGTGAACAAGGGATAGAGAATGAAAACGAGTAGAGTCTCTCTGGCAGCAGTGACGTATTCTCTCAGGTCCTGAGTAGGAAGCGCTTTAATCATCCCCCACATAAACAACCCAAAACAGTGATTGGCTAGTATCGCCCCTGTCAGGCAGTAACATGGCTCCCTACTGGCCAGGGTAGTGGCCGTGCGCCTGTCGGCCGCCTCCCACTGCCGAAGGGGGGGGGAAGGACAAGCCCACAAGTCAGCAGAGACGCCTCTTCTCCACACATCAACAACACTGTACAATAGTAGGTCGAAGCAAAGCAGAGCCCCCCTTCCTGTACTGTATGTTAGGCAGAGGACAGAGGGAGGTGAAGTGCTGACAAACACACTGCACCTCCCTCTCAAACCAAAAATAAAAAAGTCAACAAAAAATAAAAGAAAATAAAAACCAAAAAAATAAAACACATACTTTTTGTTCCTAGTTTAAATTGCAGAGAAGGTGGGAGGAATTTGTCCCTTGGAGGAACGCTCACGCCAATTCCTGCTGGCGTGACAAACCCCTCCCCTACCCACCACCCCAACCCTCCCCCTTGAAAAATCCCCCCTCCCCCCCCTCTCCTTCCGGCTGGTTGGTTGGAGTTGTAGCGGAATATAAGGGTAGTGGAAGGTCTCTTAAGTCCTGCTTGCACCAGGGCCTGGCTGTCCGTCCTTCTCCATCTGATCTTCTAACACCCCCGCGGCTGCCGTTTCACCACCGCCCCCCCGCTCATCTCTCCGTCACGTGGTTTTGTGAAGAAGGGGAGGGTGCTGTGGCGGAGGGGGCCGGGGTTAGTGCTGGCAGCGGGGCAGGGGTGCAGAGGATTTCGGACAGGTCGTCCATGATACAGGTCTCCTTGGGGTCGACCAGGTTGAATTCCCTTACGAAAACGATGAAATGTGCATACAGAGTGTTCAAGTGGCCCTGCAGTTCCAGAGCTACCGTCTCTTTAAAGTGCGCCCAGTAGAGGTGAGCCAGCACGTGGAACAGGTACCGGCAGATCTTCTTTACCAAGGACTCAAAGGAGTTGGGGAACTCTTTGCCTGAAGCGAGAAAAAGACAAAAACAATAATAACTAAATGACTGAGCTTTTGGCAGTGTTATGAACTGGCTC